GAAAGTAACAATTTTAAGATTTGCATCTTAATGATAGTGGAGTAAGTATCCTCAATACTATCTTTTTACTGGAAACCTTGAACCACTAATCTAGCTTTAAAAACATTACCTGGTTTTCTTTTGAATACCCACTTCACATCTAGAATTGCTTATCCTCTGGTTAGTCACTAGTGTCCAAGTGTTATTTTAACAAGACTGTTCATTTCACTGTCCATTGCCTCTCCAATGTCCAGCCTCACGCATGTTGTCGCCCCTCAAAGTTACTGGATGTAGCATCACAAAAATTTGCACTAACTAGTAGTACCAATTTTCATGAAATCGAACTGGTGGTTTGATTTGCCTCTTGGTCTCATTCACTTTTTGTTTCTCTTCATTTATCACACTGTCCTTGGAGTATCATTACTGATTCACACGGCACTTCTTGAGGTTCATCTTCTTATTTGTATCATCTTCTATCTTCATCATCACAACCTACACACATTGCGTCTTCTTCAATAATGTCAACTTGCCTGGCAACTATTATCTGTTATTCATCAAACCTATACCAACTTCTTATACCCAAGTAAAATTCCAAATCAGCCTTTTTATCCCATTAGACTTTCTCTTTTCTTTGGTATTCTTACATACAGTCTACTTCCGATAATTTCAATTCATTAGCAGCTGGTTCCATTGAAAAATTTTCATCAGTGCTTCTTTACAAACAGTTTTGTTAATGTCCGTTTTAATATAAATAAGCAGCAGCTTTAATTACTTCAGGCCAGTAACGTCTGTCAACTTTTGCTTCGGCTAAAAGACATCTTGCCATATCCATTATACAGTCAAAAGTCGTTAACTCGGACACCCATAATCCGGACCTAAAAGCTACAAACTTTCTGTGCATGCGTCGCATTGATGCATGTGCGTAAGACCTTTACGGCTGCAAATATGCGTGTGCGCGTGCGCAAAATACGTTTACAAATGCACGTTTAATGTATAACGGATGGTATAAGCTAAGCTAAAATTATCTAATTCAGTTAATGTTGCAGATTGCGTTGTTCCTTAATCTTCGAATTGGATTCGGCTTATTATTTTTTGCAGACTGTTAGAGCAATTTTATAAAAGTAAGCTTGAACTTTCGATTATGTCAAATAGAATTTCTGATATATATTTTACTAATATGTAAAGGATCTACAAAGCGAAAGTATGTTTCGAAGTCCATTAAACAAAAAAGTGGAATTGCTGCAAAAATGGATAAAGGCATATCCTTTGTTATCTAAACTTTAACGTTTGTTTATCTAAAATTTGTTTATCTTTAACACTGTGGCACGCAATGAATTGGAAGTTGATCTGTCAGCACACTATCCTTATCTTCAGGCAGATGTTTTTATTTTATTTGGCTTATAATTCCTTACTAAATGTAGTATTTCATCTCGATATGTACTCCGTCTTTGATATGATTTAAATCAAATTCCTCGTCATTATAATTCGCTTCCGATAGCGAAGAAAGTGACAGAGGTTATTGAAAACGAAAAAATTTCGATTGACAAATTAGTCGGTATTCTCGACACAGCAATTATAGGACTTGAACAGCGGAACTTTGTAACTGAACAAGAAATTATGTCTGTTTATAGAATTAAAGAGAAATGTATTATCACATAAAAAAACGAAGCAACTTAAACAACTTACATTGAAAGAAATGTTTAATAAAGTAAACAAATAAATATTAAGCTTTTTTTTTTTTTTTTTTTTTTTTTGTAAATTTTGATACCCTTTAGATCATAATTGTTCTTTATTTCATAAATTACGGTTTCATATTTTAATTTTATAATTTCTGCATGCCATCTTACCAGATTTAAAACTGATGATCTATAATCCGGAAAAAATCGATAATCCGGAATCGCCGAAGTCCCGACGAGTCCGGATTAACGACTTTTGAACTGTAGTTTGTGTAAACGCTTAGCAGTACCATTTAATTCATGTACATATGGTGGGCATGACTTTATCTTGAAACCTTTTTCTCTTGCAATTTGCTATTCATATATTCACTACCATTATCACATCTTACTTCTTTGATAGTCTTCCCTATTAAGTTTTGAATTTCATTTACATATTCAATTAAACAATCAGAGACTTGATCCTTAGATTTGATACAATAAATTTTTGCCAACTTGCTATAATCATCAATAAAACTCACAAAGTATTTCTCACCATTACATCCACTTGTCCTGTGAGGTCCATTTACCATCTGTATGTATAATCTCCAGAATATCTTCTGCTTTTCTTCTATTATTCTTGAATGGTAAATTGTGCATTTTATTTTCAATACATATGGCACACTTCATATATTCGGTTTCTATTTCTTTAGGGATTCCTTCTAATAGCTGATCTTTGCACATAATATCCAGATATTTAAAATTTACATGTCCGAATGAATGGTGCAATTTTTCTTTTAACGTTAACTTACTGTTGGTCAAATTTGCAAATATTTTACTATTTTTAATGTAACTCTTTACTTTATATAATCTTTCTTCTTTCTTTGCTATTGCTACTAATGAACCATTGACATCATATATTTTAGAGAACTTTTCTTTTGAAACTATTTTATGATTATCAGTAATCTTCGAATAACTTAATAAATTTGCTTTCATTTCTTTTTCATAAAATGCATTCTTCAATGTTACGATAGATTCAGAGTTATATACAGGAAAAGAAACTATTATATTGCCAACCTTTGTAGCTTTCAAAATCCTTCCGTCACCGACTTTCACTTGAAAATAGGATCCTTCAAAGTGACTTGCTCTTTGAAATATTCATCACTGTTTATAATGTGGTCTGTGCATCTGCTATCCAGTAACCAATTGATTTCATTTTTATTCATCACAGTATTTGCACTGGAACTTGACATGTTACTTTCGGATAACAGTGGTGTGAAAACTATTTGCCGTGATATGACTGTTTATATTCTATGGTTAGAGTATGCTCACGTCTCACGATGTCCACTAAAAGCACGACTACGTCCTCGATTGTTTGAAGCAACTTTCGACCATGATAATTAGTGGAGCCATTACCACGATAGTTCCTTTGATGGACATGCCAAGAATTCTTTTTAATGTGACCAGGTTTCTCCACAGTTATAACAGACATTCTCTTGTGGACCCGATTTGCTTGTTTCAATTTTGAATGCATTTGATTTTTCTGCTGGCGCACAATCTTCATAATCATTTTTCTCTTCAAGTAATTTTGATTTGATTTTGCTCTTTAGGTAATGGACTGTTCTAGCCTTCTCTGGTAATACATCTATTAAGTCACCAATGTGACTGTAATTTGAAGGTTCAATTTTTCTTGTCCCGTTACGGTGGTGCCAGCATGTTTCAGTTCGTTCACATACTTCTCAAAATCATCAAAAAATATATTTACATCAGGATAATTTTTCAGTTTCACACATTCCTAGTTATTTCGACAAACAATTTGTAGAGATGTTGAAGTTTTTAAATACATTGCATCAAATTTTGTAATTATATCAAATGCAGTCTCACACTCATGAATATATTCCAATTGCTTATTTGTTATGGCGCCGTAAATGTAATTTGTAGCTTGGATATGTCCTTTTCTTCCCAATTTTTCCATGTTCATCATTTTCACTGACTTTTCGCTGAACCACATCTTTAGACTTTTTAAATTGAAGAAATTTCATCATACGCACTTTCCAATTAAAATAGTCTGAACCATCAAATAGCGGTATGCCGATATCGCTGCTTCTTGTACATGCCATTTTTACGCTAGTATCGGTAACTTTTAAAATAAATTATAACTACTAAATTCTTCATTCATATTCACGAACCACGAGAACTGCTACCATGTTAAATAAACTGATGTCATATGAAAAGGGAAGTTGAAAAATAAGAAACGTCTCTTTTCACATTTTTTATTGAAACTTAACAACACGTGCACAACATTCCAATGGCATCCATAGCTCGCATGCAGAGAGAGAACTTGGTGTTGCTAATATGGTAAATATAAATGTACCAAACTAACACTGTCTTTGAGTGGTGTGCATTTGAAGCAGCGAAATAAAGAATAAGTTTTAATATGTATTATGACTAATTAAAGTTTTTGCTGAATGCAGTGAGAATATTTAATGTGTTATGGACAACAAGGATATATATCCTTCTATAATCACTTTCTCTCTACTTTGTTCACCCCTTGTATTCTCATTGCTTTCATTTTGGATTTGAATTCCATGGTAGCTCCATACATCACTGAAATAAATGTAAATACATGCGTTTGTTAATTTTTTTCACTTTGTTTTCTGCCGTTAATAAGTATCGTATTCATCAGTATTTTGAGAAAAAAAAAAAAAAAAAAAAAAGGTTTACATGACCACTAGTTTTGTGGCAACTGGCATTTTAAGACAAACTGAATGTAACATTGCATATTTTTCAGGTTTTGTGCTATCACATGCAAAAGTAGCAGAAAGAAATTATTTCTGTGTATTAAACCCCGGAGATGAAAATTCATGCACTGAGTCTCAAAATGGAGAAAAGTTACTTTTGATGGGAGTTTAGTATTAGGAAAATACACAGAAAGAATCTGGTTTCAGATAGAAAATATATAACTGGAAGCACTCTTAGCATGTTACATTTTCTTAACTATCGTCAGAATATTAGTTTGATTCTTTCCAAAGTCAGATTATTTTAAACAGACATGAAAGAATTTCTAGTGATATTGCACACAATGGCATAAGCAAACTTTATTGCATAAAATGTAGAAAGTGATTTAGAAATTCTTTTATATGCGTGCATAAGGTACTACTTTAGTTCTTAGCATCATCGTCTACATGTACTTAATAACTGAAGTAATCTGCTTTTTAAATTTCTTGGAAATTTTGTAGATGTTACATTCCTATGGTGACATAAATAATCTTATATCCAACTTTACTCATATCCATTGCTTATTATATTATTTTGATAATAGCTATATGTATTTAAAAATGTATAGTAAAAAGATTAATATTGTAACATTTTTGTCTACTGTAAATGTCAACAATATTTTATATTCAATATTACGATTCTGTAGGTACAGAAGTCAGCAATCCTTTAGATTATTATGACATACCAGCTCATCCTGTTCCTGTACTCCATCTTCCATCTGCTAGCACTACTGGAAATGCAACTGACAAAGAACCTGAATACATGAAGATGAAAGGTTCCCAAAAAGGTTAATTTTAATAAGCATTTTCTTAAGCTAAATAAGCACAAGGCAGGCCAAAATTCGGGGTAGGATTTGAAAGGCAAATAGTCTTTTGGTACTTGTTCAGATTTTTGGTTACAGAAGAATCTTAGAGAACTACATCATGGTACATCATGGTCATTCACCTTGAGACTTAGTGGTGTGAGATATATACAGGTATATATTACTGGTGTGAGGTTTTTTTTTTTTTTTTTTCTTAAATCTTCTGCAGTGTAAATGATTCTCAGATCTGCTTTTAAGAGGGTGTGGCTACTACTTGTATGGTCACAGCAGGACATCCTGAGCACCAAATAATTTCTTTTTCAGCTAGCAGATAATTTCAAGATATTCCCAAATATACCCCTTTCAGTTTCTGATTACTTCTCGTTGGCATGTCATAAGTGAGTAGATATGCCACAAACCACATGTACAAACAAAATAGAATATTATAGAAAGAGGAAATCCATACAGAAATTTGAGCATGAAAGGCTTAAATATTAATTAATGTTATGAAAAGTGCTATCATAAATGAACTTGTCTTTATAAGGCAGTGGAGCAAGCACTTAAGATGATTAATGGAAGGCATTTATAGCAAAGAATATCTTCCATATTTAAATGCATCTCCATATGTTAAGCATTCATTGTATCTGTCATTTATTTTGATTCAGTTATAGAAAAATTACTAACTATTACTCAAACATTGTTGTGAATTTTATATTGCTATGTTTAAACAAGATTTTATTAAACAAAAACCTTTCATTTGATTTATATGTTGTTTATTCATGCAATTATACTTAAACTCATGTGCAAGATATTAAGTTTAAAGATAGCATATAGGAATATTTGACATTAGTTATCTTTAACATTTTCAAAACTTTGGCTTGTTATTTTATGTTTGATTATGTGCCTGACACTTATCATCAGTGCTACCAAATAAATGTTACCAGTACATGAGATATAAAATCTGATAATCATGTAGTATATAATTTACCTCTTACATCTTTTAGATATTTATGTTTTAGGTAAGGGCATTAAAATTGGTTGTTATTGTAATAATTTTTCCCCATCATTTTATTGCATGTTTGCATTTAAAATAGCATTTTAACAACACCATCTAAGCAATAAATAAATAAATGAAAGTGGTAGATCAGATACTACACGTTTACCTAAAATCTTGCAACCTATCTAGTAAGTATTATCTAGAATGTTGCCATTTAACATGTCATAAAATCTTTAATTTATCTTTTAAATTATTATTATTATATCTACTTGATATATTTAAAAATATAATTAAATTTTAATTTATCCAATGTAGAATTTTCTTGCACATTTACAGCATTTATTGTAAGTTATAAGAAATGTTTCTAATTTCACATATTGTACACCTGGTACAGAAACATCCACTTAAATTCATATTTTTATGTGCAAGAGGAAAAATATTGTGGAATTAAGTGGTATCTAAATATATACTTTTTTTATTTCCATCTATTTTCTTTTATGAATAAATGATTTCAATAAAACTTTTTTGTAGAAAATGTCATGCCAAATCAGAATTTTTTATGGGAAAATAATGCTCTAAAGGACCATGAAGATGTTATACATGTGCCAGTATGTAATGCAGGTAAATAAAATTCAAACTTGCCATTTCATTAGTCAACTTAAAAAACCTGATTCGCATATTGAAACTGCTAGTAAGTGCTGCGAGGCTGAATTTAATGACAGAAATTCTACAATCACAGCAGCAGCAATCTCAAAGTTTCTTTGGTATTTCCTTTATTTTTCTTTTTTAGTAACTGTAGTGTTGGACAATTAGAATCTTGGTTTCCTGTAAACTGGTTACTGGTCATAAAAAAATCCATGCCAAGCAAGTAATATTGAAGTAACATGTAGAAAAAAAAAGATGAATTATTAAAAATCTAAGTTTTTAAACTTTTTTTTATTTAAGGAATGATTATACAAAAACTCGCACTCACGATTTTTCCATTCTTATTTATCATTATTAACCTCATTTAATTAATAAGTTTTATTGCATTCTATTAGAAATATTGTGGAATTAAATAGTGATATTTTTGCCGGAGTAATAGAATCATCAGTTATGTTGGTATGCTGTTCTTCTGTCCAATGAAGTACAAGTAACATAGAACTCAATGTTTTAAAAGAGAAGTAAATTTTACATTTATATGTTTAACTACATAGTTTTAGATATAGGATTTGAAAGAAAATCTATATAGATTCCTTTAATTTCAGAATGAATTGTTGTAGACCATAAGTGGCCAAATTTCATGAGCGACATATTGAAATTCAGGAAATTTCAAGAATTGCAACTTTGTCTGTGTTGTTTAAAAAATAATGGTTCAAATTTTGAATGGAAAAAAATGTTTGGAGCAAATTAATGAGAAATTTTCACATTTGGAACTATTATACTTGTATTATGCTACTGGACATTCTTAATTCAGATTTAAAAGGTGCAGTGCTTTTTCCTCCCAAGCCTATTTAATACTGTAATGGCTGGATTCTAGATTTGAGGTACTGCTACAAATGATAGATGCATTTACAATAAAAAGTCTTGTATTAATCCCTGATAGCCCAGAACATTGAGCAGTTGTATACATTTTTATTATTTGCAGCTGAAAACTAAAGGCTTTACAAATCATTTGTGGAATTTTCGGTAGTCTAGGTTACTATGAACATATAAATGAAAGATCATACTTTATAATAATTTTATATAGAATTTCACAGTGCAGATGATCAGGAAGTGGGTTGTAGTACATTCCTCTGTTTAGCTAGCAATTTCATGAAGACATCTTGCTTACAAAATGACTGGATACCAGAAAAACCTAAAACATCACAAATGAAGTAAATCTGAAACTTGAGGTAATTTAGAAAGAACGACCCCCCCCAAAAAAAAAAAAAAATCATTGAACAACATGCAAGGAAATAGCACAAGCTACAGCAATTTCATCTGCATCAGTATACCATATTTTGGCAGATGCTTTGTAGAAAGAAATGTTTAATGGGCCCTTCACTGCTTGATTGATGAACCAAAATATCTAGATATTTCAAAGCTATTGAAATGGAAGATTTGATAATGAAAGTAAGATTCCTAATTTGAATAATTGCCACTGAGGAAATTCAAATTAGAGACTTTGAACCAGACTTGAAATCATTGTCTATCCAGTTGAAAAGTACATTCATCCCATCACTCCAAATTTTTTGACAAGCACAATTTGAAACAAAGTAAATAATGATTTTTGTCCCATCATACCTAGAAGTCATCATGAACGGTAAAATTTCCATGAGGAAAAGTGATTGTAACATATTACTGTGAGTGGTACAGTAATATACAGAAGAATGCATAAAAATTAACTTCTTTTTTGGGAATGAACAATTTATTTTGAATGCTAATGCACATCCATGCATAGTAAGATTACAAGAGTTCTGCTAATCAAGTGTGGTTGCAAAGTTTTACATCATCTACCATAAAGTATAAACATCAGTCCATTAGATTTCAGATTGGCCCTCAACTGAAAAAACTGAAAAAGTCCCAGTATGAATAGTGTTTCTCCTCTCTAAAAGGTTTCTTCAATGGTTACCTAAGCCAAGTGAGAACTGAATAAAAATAGAACCTTATCAGGAACAGCAAATCTTCTGACTTTGGATTATTATAGATATTATGAAGCATGGGGATTGCTTATCAAGGCTGCAAGGAGAAACTGCCTGAAATATAATCTACTAGTAATAAATGACTTTTGTTATTTTACTTTTGTGCTGCTTTTTGGCTAAAAATGGTACAACTATGGTAGAAATCCACAAAAAATAGAATTATTTGCCAGTTTGTTATTTGGATGAATGTTTGTTACATACAAGACAAATAATTTAAAATCTATTAAAAACCAATAAACACATAATGCAATCACGTTTGTAAGACCAAAGAACTGCATGTGGTTCAAGAACCACAGTAAAGGTTCAGAAAGCCCCATGCTACGTACAAACTGCATATGGTCTGTCTGTTATAGGTGTTAGAGCTGTCTCTAATAGAATTGCAGTATCTTATCAAATGAACAGGATTATAGTACATTTAAAGAAAATTCAAAAAGTTTTTAAGTATAATTGCAACAGAGTGCAAAAGAAGAAAGTAATTAGTTCTAAAATTGTACTTCATCATTTGGTTACTATGCATCACACCCAAAGGACTGACTATCACTAAAATATTGTTACAATCATTTTGGTAAGATAATCAGATTTGTATTAGTTATATAATTCTTTGCTTTGTCATAAGTGTAATTATTAATGAATTTTTGTCATATGTGATGAATTATGATCAAAATTTCCACATTCCTGACATATTAATTCACTTATTACCCTCATTGCCTGCATTCAAACTTGGAATGTCAAAGGTTTGTCTCAAGACAGAGTCATTGCTGTGAGATGCTACTCTGGTTACATGCAAACAGCAAAATTAAATCCATCATAGTTTGCCATTTCAAACAGACAAGCATCACATCATTATGCCTTCAATATGATAAACCTACACAATAAGATATTTTAATAGTGCTCGAGGTTGTGGCTTAATTGATTTCATCATTTCAGGTTATGATTATTTGGGCAATAAGCTAGACTTGCATTCCAAGGAGACATATTATAGATAAGCAGGGTATTTTTCACATATGTTTGATAGAAATGTCAACAGATATGACAGAAATAAGTCTTCAAATGCATTCAACGTAGTGCAGACTGCAGTTAGTTTATATTCACTGGCATATAACCAGTAACTGTTATTCATTAGTGTTTCTCTAGATGCTGATGGTTAATTAGATGATGCTGTGCAGTTTTGTAATTAGTCTTTTCTAATATCTGACTTCACAGCAAAATTAGATTTGATAACTCATTAAAATTTGCCTAGGGACAAGTACAATAACTTTTATTCAGTCAGCCATGTGCAATTTAGTAGAGACAGGTCTAATGTGTACATCCTAGAACTGTTCATTCCAAAATAAAAGCATTTCATGCAGACTTTCTGTTGCACTCTGCATGCTTATGGAACAGTTATGCACAATGTCATACACACTAACAGCTTTCAGTGTATAATTTTTCAGAATTTTGTTCAGTACGTATTCAAACAGAGAGTTCAGGTGCCAGTTTTTGTTCAGTGGCATTTCAAACTATTCACTAAACTTTTATTCTTCTTATAGTGTAATGCAGTTTGCAGTGTACTACAGTACAAAGTCCGAGATCTGGAATGATGTAAAATCCGGAGCTCAAAGCCTCCAACAACCACTTTTTTCAAGGATTTTTTTTTGGGGGGAGGGTAAGTTCATTTGATTTCCCCCCTCATAATAAAACATGTGGAGAGTTCTGATTCTTAATCTCGCTTAGGCACTAAATAAAATACCTCATTATTGAAGAAATAATCATTTTAGCATAAATTTATGTGATCAATAAATTTACTCCATAGCTGCGTATCTGCTTGGCATACATTTCAAACCGAAACATTCTACATAGAAACATTGTTGATTTTACACAAACTAATATTTTATATCTTTGACACCAACCTGGCAAATCATTATTTATTATATTTTTCTTTCATCATGGCATGTTTATCAACACATGACAACTTGAGTTATGATGCAGTGATGCCTAAACAATTTTTTGATAATAGTAATTGAATAACAAAGATTATGGTAACCTTTTCTGTTGACATTACATTGGCACTGATTACAGATTTAAGTTAAATGTGCTAAGAAATGTTTAAGAGGAAAGATTTAACAAAAATTTCTTGCCATATGCTAAAAATAGATTTTGTTGATCGTACTTATAGGTCAAAAGATTTGTTATTTGCATAAAGCCAGAAATGGCTGCAAAATTCACATAAAGCTGATTTGTTATTCACGTGAAGCCAAAAATGGCGGCTGCAGAATTTAGGGGAAAAGAAGAGTTAACAGAAGTTTTTCATTGAGAGGACACTGCCCCAATCATCAATCAATTAATGGGCAGCAAAATCTATTGTATGGTTCTAGATCCAGAAAATACCACTGCCGATAGTGAAGAAATTGACAGAGAGGTTATTGAAAATGAAAAAATTTCAATTGACAAGTTAGTTGGAATTCTCAACACAGCAGTTACAGGACTTGAACAATGGAACTTAGTAACTGAACAAGAAATTATATCTGTCTATAGAATTAAAGGGAAAGTATTAGCACAAAAAATAAGGCAACTTTAATAACTTACATTGAAAGAAATGTTTAATAAAGTAAACATATAAATATTAAGCTCTTTATATATATAAATTTTGATAACCCTATAATTTCTGCATGCCATTTTACTAGATTTAAACTGATGATCTAATACCTGGGATCACCGAAGTCCTGACAAGTCCAGATCTTGGACTTAGTACTGTAATATTTTTGCATTATATTAAAAGCTATTATTTTTTGCACATTTAATGAAAATTCAATTGCTATTGTTTGGGTAAATGGATTAAAATTTATGAGATAATATATGGAATTGATCTTAAAATTACTATAAAAATGTGACCAATGATTATCATCTTTCAGAAAGAGCAAAATTAAGTCTTCTGGAAAGTCAGGCTAAATTAATTGAAATAATGGAAGCTTATAAAAAAGGTGCATCTCTTATAGAAGTTGAAAAGTTGCATAATGAATGGAAAACATTTTATCAAGTTTCAGATGCTGATGCTAAGGTAATGTATGATTAGTTAGCCCTAAAGATTTTCACATTTGATCACCATTTTATTTTTGCATATTCATTCTAAAATGTATGTAAACTGTAAAAATTAATAATTTTTTTTTTAAAAATAATTTTGTTATATAACTAAGCGATGCAATTTTGTCATTTGACTGAGACATCATATGGATGGATTCGATTTATTAGATTATGGCAAAGTGCATTACAGCTATCTGTCTAAGGGAAGGGATAATTTTGCTAAGATACTTCTAAGAGAAATTAATTTATAGTCATATTAAATATGTAAAAACCATGAAAATGCCCTTGGAGTCAGCTTGTTTCCTAGGATTTTAACTCGAGCTGAACTATGAGTGTTTCATAGTCTTTTTTACTTAGCAGTTGAATGTGTGTCCTGAATAAATGGAATGACTGGAAAGTGAAAAAAATTATATATGTGAAGAGAATGCCAATATTTAGAGTAATCATCCTCCCAGCTGCAATGCAGTACTTTTTCTTTAGCATTTTGAAAGCTGTTTTATCCTTTTTTTAAAGAAGGTATTTTATTAGCTGTATATCAGACTGAACCTTTCAGAGGACTCTGGATCTAAGACTGAATGATAATGAGTATATGGCAGAATGCCTCAAACACAAGTGAAATGTTATTCTCCATAGCATCTACAAACTTGGCCAACATTTGGAATACTGGTATCTCTTTTTCCACTAAAAACTTAACAAAATTCCTTTGTTTCATGACCATTACACTTCTTGCTTTATTTGTAACTTTTACAAATTCAATGTGAGTTTCCAGTGTAAGGCAAATAACAGGTGGTGTTGGGATCAGATAATATGTTACAGAAATCACTGTGTAAAAAGTCAAAAATTCGAGTTATATATGAATGTTATTTTAATAAAAGTCTGGTTATGTAATGAAAATATAAATTATTTTTGCCATTATTTTAAATCTTAGACCAGAAAATATATTTCACAGATTCTTAGTACCTTTTCATGCATGATTGTTCATCAGTGGCATGAGTTTCCACCCCCAGCGTACTACTAAAAGGGAGGGAATAGGTGATAAAATGCACCTGGATTTTTTATTAAAGGTGTTTATTACAGTAACAAGTGATTTCAGTCAGTTTTTGAAATTAAGTAACATCTGTTAAATAATATCAACAGACATTTTATGACCCTATTCATTGTAACAATTCTAAGTTCCTTCAGAGATTTGAGGTTAGTTAGCATTTTGAAGTATGCCTTGAGTAAAAAATTACAGAGGTTTAGATCATCAGAATTCAATGCATATATGATTTCTTCAGTAGCTAATCGGGTCCAACTGTGGTTGAGTAAAGTCACTGAATACTGGTAGTTCTATGCAAGGTTTGATTCCTACGAACAGGCTAAGTGCATGGGTGTTTTTGTGGTTTTCTCCATGTGTAATGTGTATATGAGCCAGTTTCCCTTAGAAAGTTCTCCACAAAGGTATCCCTTCCCTTAGGAAGATAGCCCTCGAGGCTTTGCCGTAATCATATAAACTTAAACCTAAACCTTTAGTAGCTAATCTTAGTTTGGTAATGTTTTTTAACTTACACTAGTTATCATAAATTAAGGAAAAATCATAATTACTGAAAAAGTTACATGTAGAATTTTATGAAACTTACCCTCAATATACAACACATAGTAAGGTATCAAATAACATAAAAATAAATTACCAGACAATTACGGTAGTATAGAAATTAGCACATGTATAAAATGAACAAATCAAACGTGTCAGTTTGCTATAGGAAAAGTACCTTCAATAGGGAATATGGTTGCCTCTAGAAGCAATACAGCACATACAGTGATGCATGATGCTTTCTATTATGCGGTCTATCAGTTCCATAGGAAGCGAGAGCCATTGCTCCTGCAAAGCTGTTGCAAGCACGGCAAGGGTCTGAGGGGGCAGACTGAGAGCAGCTAGACGTCTCTCTAAATCATCCCGAACGTGCTTGATAGGATTCAAGTCCGGGGATCGAGCTGGCACTCCATGCGCATAATTGTTTCCTGCTGAAGATAATCATCTACGATGCGAGCCCTGTGTGGTCTTGAGTTATCGTCCTGTAACAGGAAAGCATCACCAATTGTCCCGGCGCATATAAGCATCATGGATGTCATTTCTATAAACCGGAGCATTCACAGTTTCTGTTGGAAAGACATGAAGGTCTGTGCGTCCACCCAAAGAGATGCCACCCCAAACACAGACACTGCCTTTTCTGTATGCATCTCATTAACAGATGTTTCACAGATGATAACCGGTTCCTGGTTTTCTCCATGTCAAATAACGCCTACTATCGCTTTCTAGACTAAACCTGGACTCATCCATAAAGAGAACATCTCTCCACTGATCAGGCGTCCAGTGGACATGTTGTCGTGCCTACTGCGAACAGTCCCTCCTATGGCCTGACGTGAGCGGCACACAAATGGCTGGTCATCTCGCATACAGACCACCTTCGTGAAGCCTTCTACGCTCAGTTGACGTTGACACCAATCTTCCAGTGGCTGCAGCGAGGAAGGATCTAAGAAGAGTCGGAGTAGCGGTTCTATTCCTGCGTGCACATAATGTCAAATATCGGTCATCGGTGCTCGTCGTAGCAGTTAGCCGTCCTTGGCTAAACCTCCTAGAGGCCAAATCTGTGGTTTGAAATCGCCTCCAAAGTCTATGAACCACAGAAGGACTCACATTTAGCCATCTGGCCACATCTGTTTGACTTTATCCTGCCTCTAGTCTCCCAATGGCTCTCCATCGTAGTTCTGCAGACAAATGATGCCTGGAGGTCATTGTTACGAATTGGCTATCTCAGTTTTCTGATGTCACTATCCCAGTGAAATATGTATGCTTGCTCTCAAACATTAACTTTTTCTCTCCTCGCAGATGACGTATTCCGAGTGCAGCACCACTAATTTGCATATTGCAGGTTTACTCAGCTACTCTTATTTGGCAACATATTCAAATTTTATTTTGGCTTATTTTTGAGGGAGTTATTGCTATTTTTGTGATTTTTCTTTAATTTATGATAACCAGTGTAGTTGTGTAAGTATGCTTAAAACTCTTGGAAGCTGCCATGGGTTATATAAAATCTTTCCATGTTTCATATCAACCACGAATCATATCTTACTTTAAGTCCTATGCTGTGTAAAAAACATCTCCACAAGGTATATTATAATTTTAAAGAGGGTTGACACATACTATTAAACCAGAATATATGGCAATTTTTGCAAAACATGAAAAACTGATCAATGAAAATACTTTTAATGCAAATATAAATATAATTCATACAAAAAGTTTTGCTTTTGTCTTGTTTCTAATAATATCAGAATTAAGGATGAAAATAAATGTAATATCTTACCTTTTTTTAATGCTAAAGTAACTTTATTTTTATATATTATATAGAGCACTTTAGATGGTCTTAGAAATCTCTATGCAAAAGCTCAGAAAGCAAAATTAAGTAAGAAGCATTCCTCTAGTTTCTCAGAATTACGCCAGTTTTTAAATTCTAAACTTAGAAGAAAGGAAAGTATTGGATCAAAGGTAAAATTTATGATTCTGTGTTTGTCATATATTAATAAAATCAAAAATATGTTTTCTTATGTTTGTTGATTTATTTGGGGACACACTGAAAAGGCTGAAAGAGATAACAGAGCCATAAATTCTTTTCATGCACTTCCCTTTTGTATAAAACTCAGATATTTTGAAAACATTATATCTTTCCCATTTCCCTATAGAAACAACTTTCTTCTGAAAATATTTTCAGACTACATTTAGTATAGTCTAATTTCTATTGCTATATGTAAATAAATTATTAAACATATAGAAGATTAAACATTGTAATAACATAATTAATTTAAAATATCAAATATAATAATGTCGTATTTGCACATGTCTAGTGTGGTTACATTTTACATATGCATGTATAGTATGGGTCACAATTTTTATTCCTAAGTTTTTGAGAAAAATCAAAGTTTGGTTTATATTAAAAATTATTAAACAATTTTGAAGTGATTTAGTATAATTGATTATTTATACATAGCTGTAGGCTAGAAAAACTGTAATCTGTGTCTTTATTTGAAACTGACAAATTTTTAATTTCTTCACTTGAAACTTCATTGTCAATATCAGAATCATTTGTGTTTTCATTCTCAGATGATGCAAAATTTACTGCATCATCTTTTGATTCATTTGTCATAAATGAATTGGATGTGGCTTAATTTTTGGATATCCTTTCTTCTGATATTATTTCCACAATCCGTTAACACGTTTGAGACAGAAATATTTTACTTAGACACTCAGTTGGCATCATCTCTCCGGCATAAATTATCACAAAGAAATCTTAAGAGAGCAACTGATGAATAAATCAAGTGGTTGCAATATTTCATTCTTGTCTGTAGGTATCACAACCATGTCATTTTTTTCCTACCTCATTTTCTTTTTCATATTTTTGGTCAGATAACTGAAAACTATGATCAACCAATATGAAATACCAATGTAATAAGCGGATGTCACAACTGCTTAACCAATGAATGTTTCACTTTTTTATCATTTGGCCTTGATCTTGAACTTGTACTAATAGTCTTGGCAGTACTCCTTTTGGTAGGATTCATTTCATGCTTAAAAAAGATGTAAAGTGGGAGTTTGTTTCTGTCAGCAGTAATGGACATCATTATGATACAGTGTTGTTTTTCTTTGTTAAGGAAGTCACATCAGCATTGAGTATGCACTCAGCAATAAGCATTAATCATTACATTATCCCTTTATTTGGAATTTTTGTCTCAATTTTTTTTAACATTACATGAAGGTGTAATTTAATACATGAATATACAGTAATTTGCTTGAGTAAAGCAAGTGATATCAGTTGCTTAAAATCAATTTTGAAACGGTGATTTTATCTAAGTATATCTATTTCCATGTTAGCATATTATTTTTCAAATTAGTGAATCTGTTCATTGAATATACTGGTTTATATTCTTTTATTTCTTTGTGTAAATATGATTACATTTTCTTATTAATATACATATTATTACAAATTTTGTACATAGGTAGATGGTTTTAGTGCAACCATATGTGAAATTGTATTTTGCCACGTAATGTAGCATGAAAAATCTAGAGAGATAAGCTATAGCTATGCTGAAAAAGTAAGAATACAGGAGCAAGTCCATTTAACATTAAGTAAAGGGGTATCTCAGGAATTTGGCGAGATATCGCCAAGCTGACAACAGTTTTGGCAACATATTTTGTCACCATGTTTGGCAATAATTCTCCAAAAGGCAACAAACTTGGCAACCATTTGGCAACATTTTGGTCCTGTTCCTGTTTCACTGCAATAGATATTGTAATTGAATAAATGTAATTGACCACTATATTAGCTGTAACCATACTTCGCTCGTATTACCTTTCAGTAATTTTGAGAAGCAGAAAGTACTAGAAATATATTGGCTGCTGGGTGAAAACTATATAAGGCTATAGAGAAAGCATCTGCTGTCAGTTGTTTAGTTATTGCTGTTATGAGTTGTTAGTTCAGCATGAACTGAGCTATCTCTGGTTTAGCTTTATGCTCTTTACATTATGTTGTGTTTAACATTCTTAGTAGTTTGAAGTGTAACTACCAATTGTACTCTGTGATGCCGTGAAACCCATACAAAAATTTCTGTGGAAAATTCCAGAACTTTGAAGTGTTCGTTTTGATAAAAAAAAAGAAATTGAATTTTAACCCATCATTGGAACTGTGTGCATTTCATTTATTACAAACCCATATGCGTACAACAAAATTTTTTCATTGTTGTTTCTTATTTGATTAATTCATACTATATCTCTTGTTTGTTCAGAAATTTCCTGCACTGATAATTTTGCTATTCTTTGAGCTTGTATGACAACAAAAATTCTGGTTTTTGAGTGCCAATATTAAAAAAAAAAATTATTTGAGTAATGAAAAAGCTTTTCATTGCACTATGTCATATCTATTCTTTTTGTATCCCTTTTTATTTAATAATGTTTTCATAATTTATAAATTTAGTAAATGCACTAAATTTGGAAATCGAACTAACTATGCTTGTATTACAGTATGAAAATAAATTAAATAAGATTTAACAAAGTGTGTGTTAAAATAAAATATTTTACTGCTTGATTTTAGGGCAGTTTGAGTCGAAAACAATCAAAGGATATGAATTCAATGGAAAAACTTTGTGCTGATTCTGATGCTATAAGACCAATGAGCACATTAAGTGTGTTATCAAATACAAGTAGCTCTAGTAAGTAGTACATTGGATAATCAATATACAAAATATTCAATCAAACAGTTCTTTTTCAAATTTTTTTATTGTTACATATTTTTATTATTTTATAATTTGCAACTTACTTTGCGATTTACCTTTTATTATTTTATAAAATAAACTGAGATTTTTTAGTTTATTTAAAGGTTTCTTTAAATATATCTTTTTTAATATATAGGTGGATCTTCTTTTGATAGATTAAGTACTGCTAGTGCTGGATCAGATAGTGGTCACCATTCTGATTTTTCTGATGAACGCACCAATAAATTAAGAGTAAGGAATTAGTTATTTATATTCTTATTTAAGAAGATATAATACAAAAGTAACTCATGAAAAACAGAGCTGGTTTAATAATGTCACCACTTTATGATTTAGTAATGATTTTAGAAACGATAATTTTTTATTCAGATTAATAACATCTAATTTTGAGCTTAAATAACTAAGTGCCAAACTTTAAAGCAGTTTGCAATATTATAGCTTATTAGCTTATAAAAACCATATTGTTAAAAAAAGAGTTGGATATTTAAAAATTTTTTAGTCATGATATTACATATTATTTTTTTAATAAACTGCTGTCAAGCACTAATGACTGTAAAGGAAAAAAATATTTTTAATTGTCTCATTGCTGTTGATTTAAAAAATTTTGGGGGTATTATTTAAGATATCTTTTCATGGCTCACATTCTTGAGGAACACATATATAGATTATAGTAAAAATAAAAATAATTAATACATAATATATTTTTAAACTGATTTATAGACTACACTTTTGTGTCTAATTGTTGCTGTTAATAAAAGCTGAGACAAAACAGTCTTTTAAAATGTGTAATATAAAATGTGTTTTTAAAATATGTAAATATGGCTGTTTTTTTACACCCTAAGTGATCAGTGCAGTTGTTGCACCAATCATCAGGGGTTGATTGGGTGAGAATATTGAATATTGGTAGTTCATTCTAGATGCTTCCTTCAATGACTGAATGGACTGGTTGTTTGAGCTTTTTGTGTTTACCCTTATAATGTAGTGTGAATATAAACTATTTTCATTAAAAATCCTTCATAATGGCATTTCCTCCAGAGAAGATAGTTTTCAAATATTTACCAAATAATTAACCTTACTGAACTCAGCCTAGCTGTACAAAGAACCTGCTGTGCTTCCATAAAAGAAATCTAATACGATGGAAACAAGATCTCTGTACACATGTAGATGTTACTCTGGTTGAGAGTATTGGGAATGATTCATTTAAAATATACTTGTGCAAGAAATTGCTTGTAAAGTTTTTGTCTGGACTTATATGTCATCATCAGCATCTGGCAACAATCCATATTTTATTTTGTCAAATAAATTGATTTCTAATGATAAAATTTTTGCTATGGTGATTTTCCAAAATAGCAAATGTCATCGAGCAAAGAACATGCATTATATTTTGTATTTGCAATGATATTTTTAATACAAAAATATTTGAAATGAAGTTTGAGGGGTTTAAGGAATGCAAAGAATGTGTTGAAGATGAATCAAGATCTGACAATGCATTCACATCAGTTAACAAGTACATATTGTTCAGTTCAAGGTCTGGTGCATCAACCTTTAATGTTTAGTTATATTACTGAACAACTTCCTGTATTGGCATGAGAAAAAATGAAATGCCAAGTAAAACTAAATGTAAAAACAACACCACCGACTGACATTGATTTTATTCTATTTGAAGTAATTCTAGTGATTTAACATTATTGCCCTTTTCAGATGCAACTAAATGAAAAATAAATACCACAAGTCTTTTAAATGTCAAATTTTGTATATTTCTGAGTGTGAATTTCTGAGGCTTTTGAATTTTGTCAAGAACTTTGGAAGGTCATTTGAGCTTGCAATGCACCAGTTCTTTAGTTGTTCCAAAAAGTTTGAATTTGTTTTCTAAAATAATAAAATGTTTAGGTGAACCAGAATATGTTGTCTGAAGGTTGCACATTATTGCTGATGATGAAACAGGGATGCACATTTTTAATCTAGAAATAGTTTAACAATTAAGATAATACTCAATAGATGAGGCTAGACTAAAAAGACTCATATGAAAGCCAATGAACGTCAAAGCAATGTTGATAGTTTTCTTTGATTGTTGTTGTTTTGTGCATGAATTTCTGCCAACTAGCCAGACTAATAGCAATAAATATCATTTGAAGTTTTATGTCATATGCCTGAAACAGTTTGTGGAAAATGGCCTGATTTGTGGAAAGATAACTAACTCATGAAACAAATAGTCAGCTACAGTGCTTTTTGTTGTTAAGGAGTTTTTTGCTAAACATTTAACAAATGAGATTGTGCAAGCTCCATATTTGTATTTTGCCATATATAGCCACTTTTTATTTCCACCATTTTGAATCAACTGACATAATTAAAGAGGATTTGTTGCAAATCTTGAAAAAGTTCCATAAAAAAAATTATTGCAAAAATGCATTGCAACTGGAGAGTAAAGGGACTATAATAAATAATGATGAAAAATTAAAATCTGTTTTCTGCAATTATTCATGATTTTTTTTTTTTTTTTTTTTTTGTTTTTGTACGAAGTAAAGGAAGTATTGTAATCGTGAAAACTTTTGGGTGTCATATTTCACTGAAATTAATCCATTTTGACCACTATCCAATGCAATTTAATGATTTTTTTGCATGACATCTGTATGTAAGGACAGAATAAAGGACTCCCGTCCCCCAAAATGGGTTGCAAAAAGGGTTTAAAATGGATTCAGAAGAGATTTTTTTCATGACATCTGTATGTATGTATTTATCTCGCATAACTCTAAAAGAAGTAGTCTCAGAACCATAAAATTTGTATATAGGACTGCCATAACATGTAGTTGTGCACCTCCTTTTTTGGTTGCAATCGGCTGTACCGGGAGTATGTAAATATCTATCTATCTATATATATATATATATATATATATTACCTGTTCTGTTACTCGGCTCCATGAGCTCATTTTTTTTAAATTCGTATATGCTGGTAAATTGTACATTTGTTTTCTCTAAAAATCATTGAATTATGCTGTTTATATCTCCCAGTTTTTATACCTTAAGTTAATCCGCATGTAATAATTGTAGAATTATCAACAATTTAAAAGTTGTTTAAGTGTGACTGAGCCTATTTTTTTTAACATAGCAGCCATATTGGTTTACATTTGAAACTTAGGAGAATAGTGAATTAAGTCAGTTTCTGCACCTTTGGTGCCTTTTTGCTGAGTGGGACCAAAAGTAAACTTTCAGTTTTGTGCACCGAAAAATATGCTTTCTTGCCCGCTGACCGAATTGCTTGTTTCCACAAGGAAATTCTAATTTTAATCGTAAAAATTCTTGTTTTGATTGTTTTAACTGTATTTAGTGTTTTATATTTTTCAGTTTTTAATGAAGATGTTTTAAGGTTTTTATGTATTTTTGCCTTGTTGCGAACTGAGAACTGAATTAATTGACTGGGAAACATACCTCTAATTTAATTCAAGGAAATAAGCTTAAATGCAGGAAAAGGAGTGTATAATTTATTATTCTGTACAAGGAAGTACGCATCATATTTTTTTTATCAAAACATATACTATACATGAGCAGACTATGGCAGCAAAAATACAGGCTAAAATCTGCATTATACTGGTACACGATGAATTTGAATGCAACTGATTTCAGTAATTGCTAATGGCAAATTGTAGAGAACTGATTTTCAGTGTTAGAGCTTTAATGCATGCTGAGTTTGATTTGAGAAACTGATATGTTAAGTGAATCATTTTGCATGTAATACAAAACATTGCACATTCTTAAACATTATTTTGCTGCATGAGCAATGTTTGGCAGCAAAAATACAAACTGATATCTCTTTATACTGATCCACAAGGAATTTGAATGCAACTAATTTCAGTTATTGCTTATGTCAAATTGTAGGCAACTGGTTTTCAGTATTAGAGCATTAAAGCATGCTAAATTGCAGTTGAGACATCACTATGTGTAGATGAATCATTATGCCATGTGATACAAAACAAGGCATATTCTTAAACATTATTTTGTTTTTGTAGGTCATTATTTTGAATAATTTGCAGCAATATTTTGAAATAGTTACAGTTTTGCATCTTTATTATATGTGGCTTAAGTGTCTGTTTGTTGCCAATAGTTTATTGGTTGCTTGGCATTTAACTATATTTACATATGAACTACCTAGAAACTTGCAAATGTTGAGAAATTAAAGGACACGAAGCCAACTAACGAGTTGTGCATAGTACATCTCATCAGGTAGGCTTACCCAAACTCTTATGCTAAATATCCTTTCGTGAAAAGAGTTTAAAATTTTGCCCGATTTTATTCCGACATTGTTTTTAAATAAAATTTTCAGCTGAATGCAAATTGAGCATGTCAGGGGGAACGTGAACATTTGTTTGCATTAGCAATCATCTGTTTTTGAAATGGTTTACAACTGAACGCAAATTGAGCATGTCAGGGGGAAGGTGAACGTTTGTTTGCATTAGCAATCATCTGTTTTTAAAACAATTTAAGACTGAACATAAATTGAGCGTGCCAGGGGAAACGTGAACATTTGTTTGCATTAGCAATCATCTGTTTTACATAAAAACTATGTCTTAACCTAATTTCTTTTAAGAATACCTCCTAGAAAATACAGCACTGAAGAGGAGAGAAAAGGAACAAAAGCTGCACAAAAACGACTTTCTCGACAAAAGGAAACCACTGAGCAGAGAAAGACAAGGCTTCCTTTAGTCGCAGAGCAAATGCGTCTTTCTTGGCAAAATGAGGCTGATGAGCGTAGAGAAACAAGGCTTGCCTAAGATGCAAGGCAAAAAAGCCTGTCTCGACAAAATGAGTCCCTTGAACAAAGGCAGGAGAGAAATGCAAAAAAAAAGACAGAGTAATGCTGACCGAAATGCAAAAAGGATTAAAATAGTTTCAAACGGAGAAACTTTAATTTTTGAGCATTTCTGTGGTGTGACATGAATATTAAATGTGAACACTATCAGTCCTTAAACTTCAAGTTCGAAACTAATCAATTTGACTGTTGCAAGAAAGGATTTTCTCAATGTTGCGAGTACGGAAACATTGTAGTTCCACTAAATGATAATTATCCAGCATTCTTATAATATCTAGAACTGCGGTCATTTCGTATGACCACCAGGCTTTCTTGCATAAACATAAGCTGCCCAAACCCAGATTAATGTGAAAAAAATTTCATGATTTGTAAATGCATTTTGAAAAATGTTACTTCATTGAGAACTGTAACACAAGGTTCCAAAGAGAAAAAGGAAGAATATATTGCATTCTTTCTGTGAATGTTTACTAATAGTAATTTATGTAATTGCTTTTTTATAAATCTGTTTTTAGGGAAGTTGGATTTCATGCCACACTCAATGTATAAAATCTGCATGCACATTTCTTCCACCTTCAATATAATGGAACAACTTGATTTACATGGTTGTTATATTTATTAACATGTCTGATAAAGTGATTGCAAGTAAGACACTAATTATTGTTTTTACTTAATTATACATATAAAAGTGGTTTATAAAATTTATATTTTTATTATAGCTGCCATTTTGGTTCAATTTATACCTGTTATTATCATCTGTAGCATATATACATAAACTGAAAAACCAAGCTTTTAGTTGTGTTAAATACTTCTATATTATACCATAAATTTATTATTTTCTTGCTCATGATATCATATATCAGCATTTTTCAGTGCTTTCTGTGGTTCTTGGACCACCAGGGCCCTCTATGCTTAACTTTGTGGTCCTTCTACATTTCCAAAAAAGACATGTAAAATTTAAATTAACTGCATATGCCACACTATTGCTAAAAATCTTAGAATGTGGAAATTAAATATGGCTAGCTAATAAGATAAAGATTACTCAAATTGTAGCTTGAATTATTAAAAACAAGTATAAATTTCTTTTTAATTAATTCTATTTTAAAAATGTACACTGGTAACAACATAGGCCCAAAGAATTGTTTTCAAAAGATTTAAGTTAAGCATGTTCCACAGAACATTCAAATTTGTGAAAGTGGTCTCCACTTACAAAAAGTTTGGGAAATCCTGCTATAAGTTATTCAAGAATATGCTGAACATGAATTATGTTTTTCTTTGCTATTCTATGAATAGGATTTTGAAAATAATATTGTTGCATTTTTAAAGTTTTACAATGGTCTTTTTTCAGGAAAAATTTGAATCTCGTTACCATCAGCAGCACAGGAAAATAAATGGTTCAAGCCATAATATAAGCGGTTTTCAAAAAAATATGCAAAGTCTGACACTTAATAGTAGGCCTCCTGCTCCACCTCCTCGGCCAACTAAGACTGTTTCTCGATATGGTAGCCTTGAAGATTGCAAAGTTTCTGAAAGTCCTCAGTATTCTGTAGCAAAAAAATCAAGTATCACTACATTTGAAGATGCTTTAAATTTTTTTGATTTCATTCAGACTGATTCAAGAAGTTCTTCTCTTTGTAACGAATTCAGATCTACAACAATGAAACCTAAGTTATTAACAGGTTTGTTGAATTTTATATCTTTTTCACGTTAATCAATATAAGCTAAACTTACTCAGAATTAAATTAATCTTAATGTGCTATTAAATTAATGTTAATGTTAATGTGCTAAATCTTTTATGTTATATATTGCTAGTAAATATTATGTTATATATATAAAAATTTTCAAATAATTTTTATACATGATATATTTATGATGTTATCTGTTATACCTTAAACAGCAATCATTATTTACAGTAAATGTTTCTCCTTTTTTTGTTTACTACTGCTTGGAAATATACATTACTAAAATAAGTGCAGGTACAGTACTAAAATGAACAAAAAGTGGTTCAGTGTAAAAATTATCTCAACTAAAGATGAAAAATATCCTGACTACAATTTCATTGAGACTAGTCTAACATTATGAAAGTTTTGTTGTTAATATAAATACAGTAGGAGTTTTAATGCTTCATCTGCAAGTTAGAATGCTAGGTAAAGATATAATGGGTGGTTATAATTAATGTTACCTTATTTATACCTATATGGAACCCATTCTGGTAGATCTATTTTGTTAAAACTTGGCAAATGTGTTTGATAGAACTTGGGGGAAAAGAAATCTGCAATAAAAAGCAACAGATCAAATTTTGAATGACAGATGGTGTTTTTCATGCATTGTAGAAAGGACATAATAAAGATTTGGAGTATTTAGTCAATGCTGTAAAATCATTATAGAGAAGAAAGATTGAGCTTTATTCCTCAAATTGTTTTATTAGAAAGGCGGTAATTTTTCAACTACACTGCGAGAATATTGATACTTGAAAGCTTTAAGAAAAGAGCCTTTGTTGAAGCAGGATTTGAAAAAGATTGCTAAATTTGAAGAGACTGGGGAGTTGTGAGTGCTGCGAGGAAGAGGATGGAAATGGATTTCAAATGAAACTGTGGAAGAAGTTACTCTTGCTGTCGTGAAAGAGCATATGGTTTTCAGTATTATATTCTTCAAGTGTTTGAGCAGTGTCATGTGATTTGTCTCTCCCTTGACCAACACTATGAAAGGTTCTGTGATCCATTGTAAAGTAGTTCCCATATAAAATCTGAGTTCTGCAGAAGCTGCATCCTGCAGACCTAGACACACTGATTTTGCTAGCCTTCTTTTGGACAGACTAGCTGTTGACAGTGCATGGCTTTGAACAGTTTGTGGTTGGATGAATTGCATTTTACCCTAGATGAAGCAGTTAATATTCAAAACTGTTGCATATGGGGTACTGCAAGTCCTAATGATATGTATGAACAGTTTCTGCATCCTGATTATATTACTGTATAGTATGACTTTTCTGCTGATTTCATTCATGACCCCTTTTTCTTTTGGGGAGAAATCTTCTCAGAGCTTTCAAAGGTGCCTTCCATTATGAGTGCCAGTTACTGCAAAGTTCTTCAGCAGTGAGTCATTCCTGCCTTACAAGAATGAGAATGTTTAGAGATTAAAATCCTCATGGAAAATGGTGTACCAGCTCACATTTCTGGACCAGTGAAGGCATTGTTTTGTGTCCAACTTTGGAGAGAATTGGGTAATTTTGAAAAGTTTTCTGACTGTCTGGCCTTTGTTTTCCAGACTAGAATCCCTGTGACTTCTGGTAGTGGGGATTCTTGATTGTGTCTGTGGAGGAAACATGCAAACTGCTTGAATTGAATACAAGCATAACATGTCATGTTGCTCTAACTGATCAAGAAAACCTTTGCGCTATGTTTGAGCATGTTGTAGCATTTTTCAACAGTGTGATTGATACAAATGGAATGCACACTGAACAAAAGCTGTAAATAAAATTTTGTGTTTTTTGTTCTTCATGTGGGCCTTTCTCACATGGTGGTTGAAATCTGAACAGTTATTTTTTTATTGCAGCTTTCTTTTGCCCATGTTTCATATAACATGTATACCAAGTTTCAATGTCTACCAAAACTGGCTCTAAATAAGTCTAAATTGGGTAACTTTAATTATAACTACCTTGCATGGATTATTAACCTTTTGAAGACAGGATGGCCATTATAGTGGCCATAGAGTCCTCTCTTTGAAAAGACGGGGTTGTCCCCTTTAGTGGTCATGTCTTTTCCCCCCATTTTCCAGGCTGAAAAGTGGGGTGAAATGTCAAATTTACATCCCTGGGGTTAACCATTATCTCTTTCAAAGGTCTTCTTTTGCGATATAGAGCACCCCTCTGAGAATCCATTAAACTACACACAAGAATCTTTGTTGCAAATAGGAGGTGATTTCTTAAAGGGGGAAAAGCATTCGGTTCAAGATTTCCCTTCCTTTGGTAGCTTTTACTGCTACCAAAGCCCTGGCCTCAAAAGGTTCATGAGATTATTCTACCCTGATTTAACTTCAGTTAGAAAAGTGATGTTCAATACCTATGCCTATATTTATATTCCACAAAATACTGTCACTTTCAAAAATGGTTATTTTAGGGCAGTGAATAATTGACCTCGATCTTATTAGCTGTATTTTAGAAGTTTTAATAACGAGTCAATTCAGGTTTCTTTTTAAGTTTAGAAATCTGCTACTTTATTCAAAATGTTTGCATAAATTGCTTATAGAGTAATTCTGTTTGAAATACAAAAATAATCCTTAACCCTTAGCGGCTCAGTGTTTCACTACATGGAACACCCAAATTGAATCGCTTCTGAAACCTTTAAATTCAACCGTAAATATATTAAAATGCCTTTATAATATACTTTGAAATTTTCTTTTTAAACAGTAGATAGCAGCATATCACAAGGAGACACAGAATTTTCATTTATGATGTGTTATTAAAATCCACTTTTTTTCAAGTAATTTTCTCTATTTTTTAATGATATAAAAAATTTTATTTGGAAAAAAAAATTACGCATAAATTTGCTGGCTGTACTCCAAATTATTTCTTCTATATTTTTTTAAATCTTTTGTACAAAAACCATACACAGAATCATTGAATAAAACTGGGTGTTCCATTAGCAGGAACACTGCGCCTTTAGCGAAACATCTGTGCTTAGGCGAGAACATCTGTTGTTTACGTTTTCTGTTTCCCCCTTGTTTGGGGGGGATGAATTCAAACAAAGCAGTATTAGGGGTAAGGTGTGTTTTGCATTATGAAAGCCTTAATATTGGAATCTGGAATTTTTTGGGAGTAGTTTCTAGGCAGGAATTTTATTAGTAGCTTGACTCATCTTTACTTAGACCTGCGCGAATTTTTTACTGTTGCTTTTTAGTCTCATTCCCGTTTATTTTCAATAATTGTGTAGATATTTTTTGTGTATGTATATATTATAGGCTTATTTTTCTTTATTGTTAATATTAATCATAGTTAATTATTTTAATTGTAGTTGGTTTGTGCTTCCATCAAAAAGGTGCGACTTGCTTTTAAAGCTAAAAATAGGAAAATTTGTAAATATTTTTGTATATAGGACTTGTGTATATAGATATTTATCTCATTTATCCGTATATATTCAAGAATATTGTGTATATCCAGGAAACCATGTATACAGCCATAATACAGAGTTTTTTCATTCTTATACAAACGCTTCTACTCATTTTCGTGCTTCACTGCAATGCTCGCTTAGTCGCACATTTAAAAGCTCTGGCGGCGCAGTGTTCCACCTCATGGAACACCCATAGAGTTAAAACAGTAAGTGCAATTTTTACAAAATTTTACCTGTATACTCCTTTAGGACTAAATAGACTGCTACAACTTTTTTTGTTGAAATTCCGACGTTAATCTATAGTGTGCCGCAAAGGGTTAAAAACATTCATCCTAACACATACACTTTTCCAGCACTTCTAACATTCCTGCATTTCTGAAATCATTAACAGAATGTATTTTTTGTCTGACCATCACATCTTGAATTATCAGAAAATGTTAATCCAATAGAAACTTGTTGAATCCAAAGGTGAGTAGCAATGGCGTAGTGACAGGGGGGATGTATGCAGAGGGGCACCAAATTGTCTCCAAACAAGATTTTCCGGAAAATTTCAGTTTTATTTTGATCGATTTCTGGAAAATGTATTGATGTGTCTGATAAAATGTGTATTAAATGTTTGTGCTTGCAGTACATCAATCAAATATCTTCATATACAAAACGTTAGTGGTCTTTCTGACGTTAAAATGTTAGTGGTCTTTCTGACCACTTTATTCTTCTAAAATAGAGATATGTTTTTATTTTTTAAACAAAATGCATGTATAGCTCCCACTTTTTATTTGAAAACGATAACAAACAGTACAGTCTCATAGTATAACCCTTCAACCTTGAACTATTATTTATTTGGAGGCTGAAACTAAAGCTATAGAAATCTTTGATATGCATTTTACTTTTTAACATCAACTGGATGATTCCATTATTCATTGAACAGTGCAATGCGTCTGAAATTGTTATGTGATAACCACTTTCCGCCAAAGTTCCATGCTTGTTTTTTCTCACCAGCTGCACAGTCGATGTATACTTCACCAGAGCAAATCAATCATGTGGTGGCAAAACCGCGGTTTTGCAGCTGAGGATGGTGGTTCGGTAAAACCATCGAAACTAGTCCTGTGAAAATTTTGAAAATTAACGCTGATTTTTGTTGTTTGACTTCGGAATTACTTTAAAATTGTTAAAAGATTTTTAAAACTATTTCAATATGTATTATTTCATTTTTTCCCCTCCTTGTTTAGTGGATCATACAGAAGATTTTTTGCATTCTTTATATTATAAAGTAAAAATTTTCTCAATTGTGCTAAAAATAACTCTTATTATATTTCCAAATATAGAAAAAAATTATGAGATCCTAATGTTAATCATATAATTGGAATGTGCAGTTGTATATAAAATTGTGTATTTATGAAATTCTTAGCCTTATTTTTGTATTAATTTTTCATAGTAAATTATTTTAGTAAGAAATATTTTATAATGTGTGTAATTATTGTAATCTTTAAGTAATTTTTTAACTGCAAACTTTTTCCCCAATAGAATCTCTGTCTTTTGAAGATCCTAATGCAAATTATGACTGTCCCCCACCACCAAGACCCAGTGTTAAACCAGTTGCTAAGGACTTTACTAAGACTCTTAAATCTAATTTTATACTTAATGATCCTAAGACAGATTATGATTTGGTACCACCACCACTGCCTGTTTCTTCACCTCCACGAAAGCAAGATACTGCAGTGTGTGACCGAGACCAATCATATGACATTCCAAATCCATCAGTTATGCTTCATCCATTCCAGCGCTCAAATAGTATATCGTCAAATTATGATTTTCCCAAAACTACTCTGATGGACAATACAGATATTCAACCTGCTTGTACTTGTCAAGTATCAGTTAATAAAAACAGTTTCTGTTCAGTCAAAAGTTGTTGTATAGGTAATAAACTGTCATCACTGAAGCAAGTGAATAGTTTACCATCTGTGCCAAATACTGACATTGTAACATCTGTAGAGAAAGAAAAACAACTGAGAAACTTAAATGAGAGTCGTGTACAAATAAAGAACCTGAATGAAAATCGTTCAGTACATAATCAGTACTATAATGTATGTTTAAGGCCCCCAAGAGATACAACAAATGAACAGCGAGATAGTATACCAGAAGAAATGGCTCCACCACCACCTGTAATAGAAAAAGAAAGTCCTGAAGAACATTACAAGATGGTTGGAACTCCAGTTCCTGTGCCTTCAGCTCATTAGGTATATATCAGTAATGTATAACTACTGGTAACATGAAAGTCTGCTTTTTACCAAAGATGTAGAGCTTAAGATACAAATCTAGAATTTGTGTATTTAATGTCTTCATTTAAATTGACTGTTTTTTCAACAAAACTTAAATTCAAATGAGAAATAATTCATATAAACACTACAAAAGAACCTGCCAAATAAATTAAATACTGTAAACAACAACAATTAGCAACAGGAGTTGGTGTAACATGCAATACTGTTATTTTGAAGTTCAAACAAAACCTTTTTTAAATGTAAAAATGAAATCAAAAGCACATAAATATATGTTTCATTTCATCTTATTTTTACTTCACAAGCTGAAAAAGAAAAAAAAAAAAAAAAAAAATTATGTTTTACCTACAAAAACTATGCTATACATTTACTTCATTATGCCTTGTTAATTTTAGTTTCCATATCATTGAGCCTTTGGCTGTTTATTAATTATTTTTTCTTCATTTGTTTGAACAGTATTAAATGAGGAATTTTTGTATTTTTTCATAGATGTCGTTTTTATATGTATTTAAAGACTATGTATTTGATCATAAAGCTTGTGTGTAAGAGTAAAACGCTATGCATCCTAAGATTTTATTGCAATTTCATGGTCCTCCAGTAATACTTACTCTTCAACTATTATTTTTTGATAAAGTATAACAGGAAATGTACAGATTTTAATATAAAGTTACTTGCAAATATAGAATTCATTTGTAATAAATGCCTTTTTTTCTTAAATTTATTTTAAATATTTTCTTTTCTTAAATTCAGTACTCAAAATTGATATTGTTGAATTTTATAAGAGTATTAGAATTACCTTATTTGCTAGAAAAATCTGTGTAACGTTTAGACTTTATAGTTAGTTCAGAAAATGGAATAGTTGTTCTAAAAACATTTAAGTACATTAAGTGAGTATACTTATGGTTGTATATAATTTACATATGTAATGACTTTTAATGTTACTCAAGTTAATTGTCTATTCAGAAAATTACTTTTATAAATGTTGTTTGTAAGTTAACTCAAATATTCATATGTCAATTAATGTTTAAATAATATTCAGTAAATCTAGAACAATTACATTATTGTGCTATTAGATATTAAAATTTTGTTATTCTATGTGCTATTAGATATTAAAATTTGTTTTGTAGATATTAAAATTTTGTTATTGAACGTGGCTTTCTGTACACTGTCAGAAAGCTGATGGCTATTTGAAGCTTAAATGGCATCAAGTTAAAGTATAGCAGCACTTTTAATGTTTAAAGAAATTATCATTAATTTCTGTCTCTGCAAATGAAGTGTGATTTTTTTTTTTTTTTTTTCGGGGGGGGGGGTTTGTTTGTTCAGGATTTGGTGTAATATTATTTCATGTAAAAGTGATACAAACAGAAAAGTTACTAAATATTTTTAGGGAAAGCAAGTTGAGTGTGCATGTGTTTGCATATATCACATTTCATATTTTTCATCTTTTCATCTTCAGAAAATATTTAATGAGTATTTTATCTCCCTTGTATTGAAAATATTCATTTTTTGAGAATTCTTCTAATTATTAGTTGCAAATAGATTTAGCTCAGTCTCGATATTTATATTTATATATATATATATATATATATATATATATATATATATATAATATATAATAAAAAAGATGAGATAATATATGTAGAATATGTATCTACCAAAAATGTGCATATAAAATAAATATATTAGTCATTTGTATTGAATTATCATGTTAACTCTGTTATATAATGCTAAAGAAAATAAAAATTTAATTTGAAAATTTCATCATATATTGTTAATGTATCTCAAGTAATAAAATTTCTAAGAAAAGAGAAACTTAATTTTGGAAAATGTGCTATATGTATTTTGTGTTTTGAAAGCATTTTTCCTTTTACAATAAAATTTCATTGCACTTTAATCTTTTCGTCCACAAGCTAAGTTAATGCAGAAATTTGTGACTTCTAGTGACCAAAAAATTATCGAAGCTTTTACAGCTCTGAGAATTTTTGCCTTATAATCTCATTTACAGAAAGAAAGTTTTTGTAACTATTCCTATATTTTTAGAGCTTTATTTTTCATTTTTCTGGAAGTAAATATTACAAAATATAACTTATGAGTGGCTTGTTCTTTCCCATGTTCCATGTTTCATTTTGTATTATATGTTAACTAAAATTAATAAAAGTACTCTAGATATGTTTTTGTGTATAAAATCAGAGTATGTTTAATCAGAAGTAAAGTGATTTGATAGGAAAAACTATTCTCATATGCATTCTTGAACATATTTGTAATATAATAACTCATAATTACAATTGAATACAAATTTTTCATGAAAAGATAAAGGATATACTTTCAAGCACAATAAGGAAAGCTTAAATTGAGGAAAGTATTATTGAATAATCTTATAGATGTGCGGCCTAAGTGTTTGTTGCTGACAGTTTATTGGTTGCTTGCCTAATTGTAAATTGTTTTATTCCCTGTGCAGTGCAGCGCGTGACGAATATTATGAGAAAGCTAAGCCGGAAAAATTAAAAATACAAGAGCACGTGCATTTAACATTTAATAAATAAATTTAACATCTATATATAATAGAATTCAGAAATATGCAACCGGCAAAAACCGGCAACGATGAAAAAACAAAATGAAATAAATAGTTATCTTTATTATATTATATGCGGCTTAAGTGTCTGTTTGTCACCGATAGTTTATTGGTTGCTTGCGTAACTGTAGTAGCCAATTGGGTGAAGTTGCCACAGCAAAGGATTGCCGTTTTAATTGAGACATAGTCAATTTCCTGTAAAACTTGCCTTTGCTATGACCATCAATAAGTCTCAGGCCAAACGCTTAAGCGTGTTGGCATTTTTTTACCTGAGCCTGCATTTGGACACGGTCAACTTTATGTTCTCTGTTTAAGAGTTTGTGAAAAAACGGACGTAATATTAAAAATAATTGATGGTCCTCTACAAGGCGAGCTTAAAAATGATGGAAAAATCTACACGAGAAATTTTGTGTACAAAGATATCTTTAACATGTGAATTAACATTTTATTATTTAAATCACCTTTATTTATTGAGCTAGCGGTGGCTCTTAAGAAAGGTACCGCCAGTGGGTTCCTTCATTGCACTCTATTTTAAGCAATTAAGCAAGTAAAAGGGGGAAACCCCGTGGGGCAGTAAGCAAAGGGACGTCCTTGTCGCCTGCCCTGGGTAATTCAGTTTGAATCAGCAGACATCTTTTCACAAATCATTTTAATTACAATTTATAATATCTAGAACAGCAGTCATTTCGAATGACCGCCGGGCTTTCTAGTATACTATATCGTCAATTACCAAAAATAGTTATTCTAAAAAACAAAAAAAATAGGTCATGGTTTTAGTAAGTAGTCCATTTAGTGTAATTTTGTAGGCTCCAGCTAATATAATTTCATAAAAAGATTTAATGGTAGAATTCTAGACTTTAGATGCAAAAGAAATTTATAATGGGCAATTATTTATTACTTTGAAAAGGCTTGAAGAAAAGTATTTTAAAGCATTTTATTTTTCATTGCAGAAAAGCAGTTTATTGTTCAACAAGTTAAATACGAAATATGAAATATGGATCAGCTTATTTCTTTCTCTCAGACCTTCCCAAATACACTGCTGGCCATTAAAATTGCTACACCATGAAGATGGCATGCAACAAATGTCAGATTTGCATGAAAAGTATTATGGGCTGGAATATGCAAATGATATTAGCATTCCAAAGCATGTGCACAGTGCAGCTATGAGCAACATATTCTACACTATGTATAAATGGAAAGATCGCACCATGGGTTTCTTTTTTAAAACCTGCATTTAAACATTGTTTTTTTTTTTTTTTTTTGGGTAGAAGTATGCCTCATGTAAGAAGGAGAAACTTCTACCATAACGTGTCAGAATTCGGCCGCAAAGGACCATGTCTGTCCACAAAGAGACACACCTGCGGTGCAGGCGTTGAGGCGAAGGTAAGTGCGCATGATAAGCAATTGACGTGTCGTGTATAAAAAATTCCTTAGCTCACAGAATTTGAGAGTCTCTCATGTGTTGCATTAACAAAATAGAAGTAGATAACATAAAATGACAGTAAACATAAATGCATGTACAGGTAGACATATACAAACATCAGCAGCTGACCTGACCAGAAAAGCAATACAGTAATGTTTGTTGAAGTATGCTGTATGAAATGAATGGACGTTATGCAAAGTGAGCTACAACATCATCGAATTCCCCTCAGCAACTACACACGATTGTCTTTGATGTTAAACCTCTGAATTTAAGATGATATTGGTTCATAAGTGATATAAGAGGCACATATGTGGGAGTCAATGTTGCGCGTGCTGGTGTAGAGTTTCTTCGACCATCTAGAAGCAGCTAGTGCGTTACTATTTTAAAATATGGTTGTAGAGACATTAGGCATTTTCGGAAGCAGGCAAGATGAAAAATTAGCAAACCGCCTTCGCCGGGAATCGAACCACGGACCTCTGGATTACCGGTCTAGCTTGCAGAGCCACTACACCACGAAGGCATGCTAGGAAGGCGGGAGAAATACCTTATATACTCCCCCTTATAAAGGGCGACTGGGGTTTTTAGGGGACCCAATCGCCAAATCCTGGGTGAGGAGAAATCATCATCCAACACCCTTTTAGTTCGGGCGCCACTGTAAGGACATTAGGTATCGTTGGAAGTAGGCAAGATGAAAAATTAGCAAACCGCCTTCGCCGGGAATCGGACCTCTGGAATACTGGTCCAGCGTGCAGAGTCACTACACCACGAAGGCACGCTAGGAAGGCGGGAGAAATACCTTATATGGTAATAAAATTTTCAAATATACAGCTACTTTCCGTAGTTGAAGAAGGCGATAATGTTAAACTACCGAAAGCGCTTCTACTAAACGTTATTTCTGTTACACTCGGATATATATAGCTGAATTTATAAGCGATTTTGTATTCGGCTTATAGACGGGATTTGAGTTTGGGCTAAAATTTTGTATCAAAATCTTACTTCTTGTCTTATATACGGATCGGCTTACATTCGAAAATATATAACATATCGATTTTTTTTTTTTTTTTTTTTTTTTTTTTTTTTTTTTTTTTTTTTTTGTGTGTGTGTGTGTGTGTGTAAGACGTGAAAAATGAGCAGTGCCCTCGCCGGGACTCGAATCTTGGACTTGTCGAATAGGCATCGAGTATGCTTCCAGTTACATCACAAAGGCACGCGGAAAGGAGGGAAATATGCCTAATATACTCCTCCTTTTAAAGGGCCACTGGGGATTAAAGGACTCAATCGTCAAATCCTGATGGAGACAAATTACCGTCCACCAGGTTTTAGTTCGAGCACCACTGTAGAGCCATTAGGACTTTTTTGAAAAAGGAAACTTGAAAAATATGCAGTGCCCTCGCTGGGATTCGAACCCTTGATCTCTCGAATACGCGTCGAGTATGCTCCCAATTACACTACGAACGCATGCGGAAACGAGGGAGAAAATATCTTATACAGTGTCCTATCAGTGATTTAAGTAAAGAAGTAAAGAAAGCTATAATGCTGCTTTGTTCATTATTTGGATACAAATATCATTTTCCCACAGAAACTTATCTTCGTCGCTAACATTATTCCCATGTTTACTGTTTGGGTAATACAAGTAGCAACCAAACCGCGCAGGGAAAGACTACAGATTTTTCAAACCAAACTTCGAAAAAAAAAAAAAAAAAACTTCGCTTAATTCTTAATACCTTATAGTTTGTTAATATCAGCAGATTGATGATCTAAAACTTGAAACACTGGATACCTGCATCTTGAGTACTCCACATCATTTCCGTCAATGGGCAAATCCCATCATGAGCCAATACGCAAACCTAAGTAATTATGACTCTGTTAAGAATTATAGATACAAAAGACCAAGGACAATATTAACAAAGAAGCATCGCAAATGCTAGCCACCCTGAAATTTCAGAAGCACATTGGGCAAATTTAACAAGCGCATTAGGCAACTTTAAAACAACGTTTTTGCTAGGGAAAATTAATTATAAAGAAGCAGCAGCAAAAGCAGTATCGGCAGCACAAGAATAGGAGCTCAAAATCAATGACCAGTTGAAGAAAGTCATGAAAGTCAACCAATTGTTGAAATTTTCAGAAATATCAAACAAAAGTTTTAGAAAACGTAAGCATACGCATGTTCGTATACATTAATTACATAAATGTACAAATGTGCATGATATAGTCTTGATTTACATAAGCATGCGTACTCCCATTACGGGCGAATGTATACACTTTTGATGCAAGGTAAAGTAATTTGTATTTTTTAAAACCTTTTGCGTTCGTTCCTTTTTTTTTATTATTATTATTAATTTTTTTTATTAATTAAATAGTATCCGACGCATTTCTGGAGACTTTTTACAGAACCTAAGAAATCCATTTTATTATCATGCCATCATAGTTCTGTAAGGAAATATATTTTTAACATTAAAGGTATAGGAACAAAGTTAAAATTTGATATTCAATGTTATCGTTATTTTTTCCATTATACACAAAGCAGTTACTCTTGTATTAGTGATGAAAGTGACATTGGGATCATAATATTAAATTTGGGTTGTAAAGTTTAGTACAAGAAAAAAGTGGGTCATTTATTTAGATATTTTTATTTTTCCTGCTTATAATTTTCGGATTCGGAACTATGATTGTTCAACTCCCTGTCCAATGGGACGAATTTAAAATAAAGATACCAGTCATCGAGTTTTTGTCGAAGAAAAGACTACATTTCGTCATAGATGATGTAAAAAGAGACTTTTTAAAGCAGCTGAATCACATCGTCCCAAAGGAATCATTATTTTCTGCTCCGTTGCCTTTATGACAGTCGGATGGATTTAAGGGGTTTTAAAATAACCGACAGGCCATTTAATAATACTGCAGATGGATTTCTTACTGCCTGCTTTATACTAAATTGCCAGCTGTAGGTAGGCAATTCCTTTTTAAGGAAGTAAAATGTCTGGGATGAAAGTTTTACAAAGACAGGGGATTAAAAACTTCCTTTGATTTTCTGTCAGAATTGTTTTAATTCTAAAAAAAGGGGGAAAAAGAATCGAATAATTAAAGGTAGTTCTTTATCTAATTTTAGAACGGTAACCAATCCTGCAATATCTTTATACAATATTAAAATTCGTTTCGAAAGATAAGGAATTTTCAGC